GTGCTGAGAAATTACTTTTCTCCTCTTACTGAGTTTGTGTACTGTCAGTCACAGGAACTAACATGTTACTCTTGAAAATAGGAGGCAGCTGGAATTAAATTGATACAAGCCATTAGCTGTGTGCCTAAGGACTTTTAAATTCCAGTAGACAAAATCCATGCAGCAGAATTGAACTATTAAATAATATTTATTTCTTCATAAAAAATTGAGCCAGAAAGATGCATGCTTTTCTAATTTAATAAATTTTTTGCAAAGTTTTAACAGTGAAGATAACATATTATTTGCTTTCTGGCCTCTTTGTGCCTTCTTTTTTCCTTGCTGCTCAGGCAGACCATATTTCTGTTTTAAAAAACTTTTGTAGTGCAAGCCCCAAAACTCTTTTCCTTGCAATTCTGATCATACAATAAATGAAAATGTGGCTAGATCAAAAATATCTGTTTATTTCTTTTCTCCTCAGTCTTCTATGGGCTGGGGAAGCAGCTTGAGGCTATTGTCACATATTGCATTTAAAAATTATACATCAAGAAACAATTTTATGTGCTACTACCTTTTCACAAAAATTTCACCAATGATTGTTTTAGCATTCATAGAAATGTTTACATAAAAGTGATGGCTATTTACACCTATTCCAGCTTGTTTGTTTTATTTCTAATTATGCTTATTTCTAACATTTTCACAGATGAGAAATAATTTAATGCTATACACATTTATTGTAAGAATCTTGCTCTCAACTCAATAAAATATGAATAAGTATATAAGTACAGAAGATAGCTCCAGTCAATCTAAGAATTGCAGGAAATGTTACAACAAAAATACGTCTCTCTATTTTGCGGAGACAGGATTGTGCAGACATTTTTGATTATTTTGCATTGTCAATTATTTTGATTTTATTGTATGATCAGAATCATTTTTGATGCAACAATCAGACTCCCTTGTTAGCTCAAAGATTTCAGCATGGTATGCACAAGTTTAGGTCAATATAGTCTGAAAGGCATGAACTAATGAAATGGTAGAGTTCGCGGCAATCAACTAGGAAACTTAATTCCAATTTCTCAGCTAATGTCAAGCATGATAAGGATTTGAAGAATGAAAGTAATCAAATTTCCACCATGTGTCTCGTCTTCAGAATGATGGGTTCACGTGTATATATGCTGTACGTACAAACCAGGCGTACTTTGTTCTCCAGCAGATTCTGCTGGTTCAGAACCATTAAAACCCATTTCATCAATGATACTGTCTATGCAGTGTTACTGTCTTACTGGTTATTTTGGGTTGGGTTTTTTTTGAGGTAGCTGGATTCAAACTTACTTCCTAAGCTCATCCTGAGATGGAAAAAAAAAAAAAAAAAAAAAAACCATGGTGACAGACTGAGAGTTATTTATAGTATAACTCAATTACAAAAAATAACTCAATTTTTTATTTTGCAACACACTATTATTACCAAGCTATTTGGTAATGAACAGTAGGATATCAGTGTACTTGGAATCTGATTAAATGTGTGCCTTTCAGGAAAGCTGAGTTAATATTGATGGATAGCTTGAGCAGACTTGGTTTTGGGAACTCTGTGTACACAAAGCTGGTAGAGCAGTTGCAGATAGAGCAACAGATTTGATGTCTCCCAAGTGAGAAACCTCAGCAAAGTATTATTTTGTTCAGTGCAGTGTTACGAGCTTGCTGTCATTGCAGTATTTTTCCTTCCTGACCAAACAGTGGAAAGGAAGATGGATGACCACAGTGGAGGCAAGTGTGGGCTGAGTGTCTAAGCAGTATAGTTTCATTTCAACAGCCTAAAGAATTTATCCAGGCTAACTGAAAGTACAAGTTGCTTAATACATGAACAGTGCATACAGAACATCCAGTGGCCTAAATTTTCATATAATAGCAAGATGCTTTGTGTTACAAAAATCAAGACTTTGTGCACAGTAATTTCTAGTAACCCCTGTTTTCTTGGAATCTTTTCTTCTACATCTTTATGGGACAAATTGCTAAACATATTTTAAAGTTTCCTATCTTGATGATTAGAGTCAACCTAGTTACATTGGACTAGTCAAAAAGCAGGTTAAAGAGATACATGAAGGTACTGCAAAAATGGAAGAGAAAAGGGGTTTAAGGTACTGTCCAGTGCATTCTACTTTTCACAGTTATTTCAATGACATATATACAAAATCAGTAAAATCGGTACTTTCCCCCAAAAAGAAACATGTGCTGTTGGCCAATGCTGATTTATCTAAATAAAACTAGAATTCAACTTTACTGAGTAATGGTTTTGTTTTGCTGGCTTTGTTGTATTTAAATGTGAGATGAAAGCAAGTGATGATAGTTTAACATCTATGCTACCTCAAGTAGTATAACATCTGTTTGAACATTGGCAGTGCTATTGAGGGTAGTGTTAGCTTGGTTAGATAGGTTAGCAGTGCTGGCTCTCTGCCTTCACTCTCTGCTTCTCTTTCATCAAAAATATTATTGATCATTACATGAACAATAAGAGGTAGCAATTCACATAAGAAAATATTTGCATGGCTGTTTTACATTTGGTGTAGTTAACGATGATGTTTGCAACCACAAATGTAATATTTACATCCATTGATATAATAGAATTGATTAAATGGGATAAGAGCAGAGTGACACCAGCTGCTCCAGAGCATTGTTTTTTGCAGCAATCAAGAATTGCAATTTGGTGTCCCAGAGATAAGAAGATCTTCTATTAAAGAGTATCTATAACATCTGTGTACAAGTCTAAGATCTTTTTACTTGTTTTAATTTTTGCGGCAATGTGCGTGTATAGATTGCCTTCTCTTGTTCTTAATAATAGCAAAAAAAACCCCAACCAACAAAATAAAACTGCTAAAATCCTGTCCTCCCAGGACATGCTCTAGAGAAGAAATATCCCCAGTATTGTTACCCAATGGGCAATATTAAATTTCATATCCCCTTTTCTTTTATTCTGTCCAATATTGTATTTTCTACCCTCTACTGTTCAATTTAGTCTTCATAACCTTTCTAGCACAGTTAAACTGCATTTCATTCTGCTTTGTGTCATAGAAAAATAGCTGTTAGGAAAACTGCCAGCTTGACTAGTCTCGCTGCTGGAGCTGAACAGTATCAATGACAGACGGGCTTTTCTGTAAAGTTGGACTTAGAACTTCGAATTTCAAGTACCCCTGCAGTTAAATGAAAAGAGGTTTCTGATTTGGTTGAATCCCTGATAAAGTTTGAGTTTAGCTGACAATTAATTTTAGCTTTCACTTTAGAGTTCAGTTCTTCATTGTGCCTTGCCAAAACTGTGGTTCCTGATAGGACTGAAATATCTGTCAGGCACTAGAAAGAATAGGACTGATGGAGAATATCAGTAAGCCAGTGGGTACCAAGTGGTGGTGTGAATTTTACTGATGATGGACAAGCATATTTCAGGGGCAGCTTGAGCTCAGTGGTTTTGCTTATTATTTCTGGGTCATTGTTCTTTCTGCTTTCCTTCCAGACATGCAACAGTTTAGACAGCATTATGTAGCTTTCACATGCTCTGGTGCCATACAGCTTGGCCAGGCTGCACCCCCAAGTCTTTCCTACCAGTGTTGATCTTTTTTCTGGTGGCTGATAAATAAAAGGGAGGTTGAAAGGAGAAAGTGTGAAGTGTCAGTAACCAGAAGCAGGATCCACCTGTTCCAGTAATCTGCCTGCTGCTTTCTAATTCCCTTGAGTTATGTGATCTCAATGGGAGTAAGAGTCAGGGAAGCAACATCCAGATCAGGGACTGAAGGAGAGGAGTAAGGAGAGAACACAGAGGAAAAAGAAGGAAAAATTGTGAATGTCTGGTGCCAGAACTTGTTCCACTATAACATGGGCCTGCTCTGATCTATTTATTGACTCCTATTCCTGACCCATTCCCATGAGTATGTTGGACAGTATAATCATCCTGGAGGCGGTGTTTGGCAGCTGAGAAAGCAGAAGTGCTGATACAAACGTTCCTAAACTTTATGGTAGTCAGATATTTTCCTGACTAAGTGGAATTCATCAGTGGGTAATTCTTTAAACAGCGTCTCCTCTTTCACAGTGGAAAGTAAATCAAGAAGATTATGAAATCTTAACCTTGAAGTTTTTATGACACTGGAGTCTGACATTGTTCAGAGCTGAACACCAATTCAGACTTAATTTCAAATGATTCAGGAATTGCTGAAATAAAGTATTCTTTTTCAATAGAAATGAGTTCTTTCTTGCTTCCAAACTGCTCTAAACTGTTAGGTTCCACTGTTTTAATATTCATCTACCTTAGTAGCTTTTTAAATTAATATTGTATTTCAGTGAGGAAAGGAAAGCATAAGGCTATGTATTACATTCATATCATTCATCTTGGGGGAGTTGGCTTGTGCGTGCTTCCTGTGCAAGAATACTATGTTGAATTACCAGAAGTGGAGATATGAAAAAACAAAAATTATTTTTAGAGTAAAACATTAATTAGCAGTGTCTGTGTAAAAAAAAATTTGCAGTTGTTGATTTTTCAGCTTGCTTTTCCAGATGGAATACTGTCTTTTCAGATAAGCCTTTGGTAAGTACTAGAAATTTGGAAAGCACTGATGCTTTTCATACTTGGCAAAATAAAACTACTGTAACCACTGAATCAGTTTTAATGCATTTATAGAGAACATTACTATATTAAATCAAAAAACATCGATGATTTTATTAAGAAAGCAAAGATATTCAACATCATGAAAGGGAAATGTAAGTTTCATTTGAGCTCTTGAAAACTCAGAAAGTTTTAAAAATGTAAATCAAATCAAATAGTTGTAAACTAGTCATTAAAACTGAAAGCATCAAGCAGTATTAGAATTATTTTTTAACTTGCTTTCACATTTCAAGGTCAGCACACTGATGAATACTTTATTCTGTAGAGGATACAATGGGTAGAACTGTCAAAAATTAACTTCTTTTAAGCAGGAAAACATCAATTGAAATTTCCATCTAACAGCCCTATTGACTTCCTTTTTTGTTTAATTCCTTCACAGAGGATCTTTCTTAAAGCTGGAAGTGAGGAAGAAATCTTTGCACATCTTGGCTTGGATTATGTCGAACCATGGGAAAGGAATGCTTAAAACGATTTGCTGCTGTACATCAATTGATAGCAATGATTTTCTGCCAATCTTGCAGTCTGATTTAGATCAGATATTTGGATATATCTAGATATATTTAGAATATGTAAAAAATCTGTCTCTATGAAAACTAAAATTTTTTAAGATGTATTAGTTAGAAGCCATCACACATGCTGATGTTCCTAGAAAAGAAGAGTTTAGGTTCTTTTGAATTCTTTTCTGGTTTAGTCTTTGAAGTTTTGTACCTTGGAGTGACAAGATTGAGCTTGTTTTGGGGGAAAACATGAAACTGGTGAGATTTTTGCGTGTGACAGGAACTTAACATCTCTGTGAATACTTGTTTATTAAAATACTGCCAGCTAGGACAGTGCATAAATAATATAAAATATTTGAGCTGAGTCCAAAAATTACTAAAATACATGCTTATCTTTAACTGAATTTCTTAACTATTTTGCTGAATCTCTATATAAAACTGCTTATGTATCTAGGACTTAATGACCTAGACAGTAATTAGTCTGGCAGTCACATCAATTTGAGGCTTAATCTGTAATATCTTTCCAAGTGGGACACCATGTTACAAAAACCATAAACAATTTGAGAATTCAGTGAGAGTTACGAAATTTCACAGGGAGGGATTTTGGAAAGTGAAAGTGGAATAACTCAGTAGAAATCTTCAATTGTGAGGAAAATATACTATAAATTGAGAGTACTGATTCGGACTAAAGAAGATTCAAGTGGTGATGTGATGGTCCTCAATCAGGAATTTGTATTATAACCTGCATGAAAACAACGGCTTTAACTGTCAGGCTGGTGGCTGCTCTGGGATGAGATCTTTTAATTGTCTGTACTCAATTTAGATAGCTGGAAATTTATTTATTAGAAGATATACTTGCATTGATTGGAAGTCTTATCTGAGCTGTTTGCCTGTTGGCTTCTCTAAAATGATATTCCTTTTTTAGGTCAAAAATTAATCTTAGGTGTAAGAGACTTTATGATAAAAGTAACCCTATGAGATATTTTGGTTTCAGAAAATTTCCAGGTAGATCTTTTCACTGTAATGATAATGAGCAATTTGTAACACATTTATCCTTTAATGAACAAGGGCATTCAGTGCTTTAGTACATGAAGTTAATACAGACCATTTATTTATCATTTGTAGAATAAAGGTGGTTAAGAACACCAAGACTTGTCAAATTATTTTCTTTCTTAAAAGTCTGAACTTCTTTTCTTGTTAAGGCTGTTTTATGTGCAATCACATCTTTCTGATTGTTAAAAGAGTTAGTAACTGTATTTTTGTGGCATGTATTCATTCATTATTGTAGATAGACTCAGTACGATAAAACTACTTTGAAAATATGAGTTCACTTTAAATTATAATTATTTGTTGCCCATCTCTTTTAGGATACAGCTTATGAATCTCACTTTCTATCTCCTCTATTCTATTAATGACAAATATTCTCATTCAGTTTTATGCATTTATTCACTAAGGTAAAGGGTTAGGGGATCAGGCCCAAAAATAACTGTAAGCAAATGAAGCCTATTTCTGAAGGAAGGATCAGGTTTTGCTACAATGACCCCATTCAACATACACACCCATCTGGCTCACAGGTAGCGGGGACACTTCCTAAGCTTTAGCAAACAACCTGAAAGAATAGCTAAGCAGGAATGGCTTTATCAGACTTACTGCAAGAAATGGATGCTATGCTATGAATTCATTATATAATTGGTGATAATCCTAATTTTATGGTATAAGCAATTTAAATTCTGTAATTTAAACCTAGTTTGATGCCATTAGTAGAAATATAGGCAAACTTTTTTACAGATTTAGATGACATGACAGTTTTGATACTAGGAAAACATATGCTGTTTTTTATCCATTTTACTTATTCCTTTCAACATTTTTAATAGCACTACATTTCAAACTATTCTAAAAGGTCAGTCAGAGACATAGAAAAATGTGATAACAGCATAGAGTGTTATTCTTGCCTGTGCCAATAAAACTGTCCTTTTTAAATGCACTTTTGCTAACTGAGCTGAAAAATATAATGCTACTTTCTAAATGGCTCTAACTAGAAAGCACTGGCATTGCTTCATTGTGCTGATGTATGATGTTGTTTGCATCAGGGTGCTGACACTTAAGTAGCAATGTTGATTTTCAGTCCTAGTGGAAGACAACAGTGCCTTATCTAAATATACTTACTACTTGGCCAACATTTATCAGAAATTAGTCATTTTGGTTGTGCTGTTTCTGCCTACTGCAAGCCATGGAGGAAATATGAAACATTCTGCTTTCCACATAAAGAAATATTTGAAATTCATAACTCCTGTCTTGCCTGCCTATGCATCACTTATAATTATACCACCTGTGGGGCAGAAGGTACCAAACACAAATTCTGTCAGCTCCCTCAGAGCCAGAATAGTATAAACTATTAAAAACTATTAAAGTTTTTAATAAACAAACTCTGAATCATAACATAATTCTTCTTGCATCAATTAAATATATCAATCAGTTCTGAACAGTCCGTAACAACACTGTAATGATTTCAGTTCTTGATGGTGCTAGTCAACTGAGATCTTAATTAAAAAAGATAAAAGTCATAAGAGATAACTCCAATGTAACAGGTTAAAGAAAAGAAAACCTCTGTTAGTTGAGCATATCTAGATCCATGAGAATACTAGAAACTCCCTGCAGTTTGGAGGAACTGTTGGAGTCAATGGTAATGAAGCTTCTGACCTTAGGAAGTACAGCTGAGCCCTGAGGGCCTGAAAAGGGGCAAAATGCTTGTAAAAAGAATAGACATGTTTATAATAGGAAGAAGGGAAGAGGAAAGCTCAGATCAGTGCATGTAGTATCTCCTATATTCCTAGAATGATTAATAGACTTTACTTTTCAAGCACCTAGAGGAAAATAAAGTGATAAGTTATTGGTAACTTTTTCATTAGAAACAAATAATATCAAACTAATTCAGTTGTAAAGTCCCTGGAGGCTGATTTTCAAAATGTCCGTCTCTCCTCCCCTGCTTCTACACCAAGGCAATTTGGAAAGTATTAAGAAGAGAAGGATCATTGGTTTTATAAGCCTCTACCTCTACTAAGCCAAATATATGGCAGTGTAAGTGCTGAACATTAAAAACAAAAACCTCACAAATAGTATCGATCAATCTCTCTTTGTGCCCTGTCTTATCCCTGGTCTTTGTTTCCTTCAGTTTGCATGGTCAATTCCTTCTTTGAAGTTTGTGTGCAATACAGTGAAAATGTACTTTGTGCCACCCAGGCTTAAAGTGCTTTGCTGAAGCCAAATATTCTCTGTTTCAGTATCACAATCATACGATGTCAACTCATAAAGAGGAAAGGCATTCCTCCACGAATTCTCTTCAACCGCCTTCAGAGTACTTAATTTTAAAGTATACTTAATGAATTCTCCCATAAAATCTAACACTATTTTTTGCCTAGTGCCTCTAAACAAATAGTGTTCTTGAATACTACTGGAAATACAGACAATCCATATGACTAGCACTATGGGGGCTACTGAACTACATATCTCCGAATACCAAGTGCCTGACGTAAATGTTTTATCATTTAAAACATTTTAAACATTGATCACGACCAATCATAACTGCAGCTGGTGACTGACTGCAGGGGAGAGACCATGTGTGTACAAACGCTCCTAGTTTGCTAAGTTTTAGTTAGTGAAGACTCTTATTTAAAAAACAAGCTATTTTTAAAAAAAAATAAATATTGTGGCAGGCTTTTGATTCTAGTTCCCTTGTGACCGTGTGGCAAAAAATACTACTTCATGGTATGTTGCCTTTTGTCTTGCATTTTCTCTAAAAACAACATGTTAATTTAAAGGCATTTTTTTGAAATGGCAAGGCCTCCCAATTAATTTGCCTTTATTTTTGAACTTTTAAGGGAAAAACATCTATATGGATCCAACTCAGAAGCATTTTTATTAAATAAAGAAAGCCTTTCTAGCAGGAGTAGCATTATTTCATGTATTTGTTGCTAGATACAAACACTATATCCTAAATTTTCTGTCAGCCTCAGTGTCTTTTTCTCTTCAGGATGCTCCGCATTAAGATATAATAGAAAATAGCAAAAAACTCTCTATTTTTTAAGACTAGGTGATTTCTCAGCCAGGGGAAGTGTAGACTATATTCCAGAAATTGGTGGTTGCAACACGGGGGAAATCAGAGTAAATAATAAAAAGCTTACCTCAGCGCTTATAAGCTAAAATAGTAATCTTTTTATATTTCTAACCACTAAAAGAGAGATGATTTGGAATTTTTTCAAAGCTGGTAGAGAGCCTGAGTTATTTATATAGATTCAAAAATGGAGCTTCACAAGGTTATGTAATTGTGTGACAAGGTAGGAGTGTTTCTGCAGGTGGAAACTATTGCTGATGATACGAGTCTGAACTTGTTCAATTTTAGGCAGCCCAAGGATGGGTTTTAAGACCATATAGTCCTGTGGATTCCATAACTGTACTCTATGAATCCTATGCTTCAATACACAATGGCTAGGAAATTTTGTTTTTGCACTTCTCTGAAACGCAAAAGATCGAAGATACAGTGTTGAGCAGGATAGCGAAGATTTACTGCTTCTGGTGATCCTCAAATCCTTGCATTCTGGTTTAAACTACATTATGATATATTAACTGGTTTTCTATATCGTAAACTAAAGTGTGGAATCAGAGATACAACTTTTGGCTTTTTGCAGTACAATTTAAATGTGTTAAAGGCTGCTAGAAAATGTTTTTTTGTGTTGGCAGTATGTGAGTGGGAAGTGGTTGTTCTGGAAACCCTTCCACACTAGTTGCAGGACTGTAGCTGTTGCAGGGCACTTGACAAGTGATGAATGATATAATTAGAATTCTTCATGATACCAACTGAAAAAGAAGCCAAATACCACAAATATCAGTATCTGTTTGGACAAGATCTCAGAATTACAGAGGGAATACAGACATTTCTCTCCCATTCTTATTTGCCCCTTGCTCCCAGTTAGATCTGGCTTCATTAGGGAAAGAGGACATATGTCTGAGCAACTCCACTGTCAAATATAGAATAAGTGCTCTCCTCCTACTCCTTGTTGAAGGGGATTTTTACCTACTTGCCTGAAGGACTCAGAGGTTCCCTTGGCCTGCATATTACCAGACACTGGGGTATTGAATGTCTTTAAGTAAGTTTCTATCAGATAAAAATAAATGGGGCCTGATGAACAACATATATTATATAAAAAAAAAATGAAGCTGCAAGCCACTCTGGTACGTGTATGTACACAGGGAAAGATTTTCAAAAAACCCAAGTGAGAAAGAAAGTGGGCCACTTCACTGTGAATTTTAGTGACAGATGGCTGGTAAGGCAATCCACAGTAGATGAAAAATGACTATACATTAAAGCCTACAAACCACAAACACTAAAATGCCTCCAGTGAACATTTGAACTGAAGTTTAACGATCATACAAAATTACTGGTAAATCACAAAGTACAAGATGTTAAAAAGAAGAAAGGCTGAACATAGAATAAATTTTTTTCTTACGTAAGGGAGGGATAAATAAGTGTAAGACTAATCAGACCTGTCAGTGATGAACTTAACGTTACAATTATGCCAGTCCATGAGAAATCAAAAGAAGAACATCAATGAGATGTATTAAATCCCCCTAGAAGTAAATACTTAGTCTGTACCCACTGTCAGTACAGACTCCCACAAAATCAAGCTTCAGTGTATAAGGTAGGACAAATGAGTAATGGTGAGCTATTATGAGTTACAAACTTTAAGATAAGGTTGTAATATTTGTAAAACAATAATAGAGGACCACTTGTAAGCTGAAGTAAATTATATTAATTTAATAGAGGTCAAGAAAAGCAAATGACATAAAGCCTCATAGAGTGATAAACATCTGTCTCAATGGGCTAGTGGTGATAAATCACTTTTATGGGTAATTATTTTTTATTGGTGCGAAAGGACAATAGTGTCTTTGAAAGTATCCGGCTTCCAGGTCCTGTAGTCTCAGCAAATTCTTATAAAAAGAGCAAAAAGCACTGACAGACATTGCAACAGGAGAATTTAACTGCAGGATGTTTATTTTAAGAAGCAAATAATTTGAAAAAGGCACATGGATTTTGTAAG